CTTCAGATGCCAATCACATGTCCAGGTTGTCACCTGTGCATCTGACCAACTATAGATCAGAGGTTTCCCAAAACCCCTCTTTGGGTTTTATTAATTTGCTAGAGCAGCTCACAGAACTCAGAGAAACATGTTACTAGATCACCGGTTTATTATAAAAGTATATAACTCAGAAACAGCCAGATGGAAGAGACACATAGGACCAGGTGCGGGGGAAGGGCCCGGAGCTTCCATATCCTCTCTGGTCACCACTCCCCGTCTCCACGTGTTCACCACGCCTGAAGTTCCCCAGGAGATTTCTTTACACAAGTGTGACTGATTAAATTCTTGGCCATTGGTGTTTGAAATCAACCTCCAGCTCCTCTCTCCTCTCCAGAGGTCAGGGGCTGGGACTGTAAGTGCCAACCCTCTAATCACGTGGTTGGCTCCACTGGCAACCATTCCCCCAACCCTAGGTCGGGTCCAAAAGTCACCCCATTTATACCTTTATGGCTTTCGTGACTTGGGGGATTCCAGGGGTTTTAGGAGCTGTTCATAATCATGACTCAGATAAAATATGTATTTCTTATTATAAATCTCAATATCACAGTAGGATAATAGCATAAATGAAGAGCTCGGTAAATAAAAGCAGCTTCCCTGCCCCCCTGCCCCCTCCCATCATCAGTTGGCCCTTCCAGCCTCCTCTCCCCTCCCCAATGGGCTCCTCCAACTAGACACACGGGAACTCTGACCTCTCACCTTCTTCCCCCACCTCTTCACACTCTGACCTCTCACCTTCTTCCCCCACCTCTTCACACTCTGACCTCTCACCTTCTTCCCCCACCTCTTCACACGCTATTCATGACCGTGACCTTCTCTTCATTCGCTCTTAGCTCATCCATTAAACTGACGCCACTGCCATGAGATTTACTGACGCCAATCACAAAATAATTAGACTATTTACAAGACCAATTCCAAGAGTCTTTATCCACGGCCCATGCTAGTGGTTGTTATATTAACAGAGGCTGACTCCCTAGAAATAATATTTATTGGGGACTCCTCAAATAGCAATAATACTATGTTTATAGCGGCTTCTTCCCATTATAATGGCAGTTGAGGCCCTGTCTAATGCCGCCTCACTGCGGCCTCTTTAAGCAGAAACGTTTCCTGAGGCTTGTTTCAGCAGTCATGTTTACAGGGGCTTACTCTAGCAATAATGATGTTACACCACCAGCTCCTATCTCCACTGCCCTGCTCGGCGTTTCCACCAGAAAGGACGGATCTCCAGCCTCACACTTCTGGTTCTTCTCACACCCCACCCCTGTCCCTCCCACGGCCTCCCCCATCTTAGTAAATGACAACTCCCTGCACACTGGGGTCATGGCCGGCTGCTTTCCCTCTGTTACATCCCACGTCTGACTCATAGGCCAGTAGTGTGGGCCTCCCTTTAAAACGTG